ATGGTCATAACTATTAAGTTTCCTGCTTGATTATTATTATTATATTATATATGATATTATATATATAATATATTATTATTAATAATTTTTTAAGAAATGTAATAAATAATCATATATTAACATTCTGTAATATTATTTTTGAAACTGTAATTCAAGTGAATTTTTTTAATTTTTTTTCAGCCATGCCACAATTAGTAAAAATAATAAAATTAAAAAATAGTTGAGACATAATTTTTTGTTCAATTCGTTATCAATTTATTTTATAGTTATTGGTCAGCCAACCAGTCTGAACCCAGAAGCTCCTTCATGCAGTTCAACAGCTGCCCAACATATATATATATATAAATTATAATATATTATATGATATAAAAATATAAATACCATTGTAATATGATTATCATTATTAAATTTTAATATATAAATAATATATATAAATTATAGATACATATATAATTATTTTATAATTATAATTAATCATTTATAATTAAATTTTATTATAAATATAAATTATTCATAATTATTATTTTCTTATTTTACAGCTGTTATAAAAACAAGAAGAAAAATTGTGTTGTGTTCAATTTTAAATCGTTCTTTTCACGTCTTGTGCGCGAATGTAACGCTCCATGCTCACTTAACATTGAGCGCCACTCTTAACATGGCGCAAGTTGAAAGTAAAAATAATTCTTTCAAAATTCGTTTTCTCGGTAACTAAATGCTACAATAATAAATTTAGTATTATTTTTATCAGCAAATTTTATTAGTTTATATACAAAAAAAAATTTTTTAAAAAATCGTGCGACCTGCTAAGAAAAAGTATAGAAAAAAATAAAGTAATGGTTTAAAACTTTAAAAGACTGATAAGTAAAATAATTTATTAACAGACTAGATTATGACTTAGTAAGTTAGTTAATTGATGGGTAAGAAAAAGGAAAACTAAATTGAGTAAATGATAAGGTTTTATTGACTGTTGATGATATATTTAAGATATATGCCTTGTGATGTGATGATATGTTGATAAAGTGGCGACTTGGTAGTTATGCTTGTGCCTATGCCTATGCAACTTACACAGGTACACGGTAGTAAAAATGTAACATCAATTGTTTGAAAGCTCACTGGGGTCTCTGCTTTATAAATAATAGTCGATTTTTGCATTGGTATCACATCGCTGTTGTTTACAAAATGTCTTTTAACTTTAAATTTGGGGAGGAGTCTATTAATAATGGTTGAGTCATTCATTCTTTTAAAACGAAATAAAAATGTAAAATAAAAGGTTTTGTAAATTTATATTAATGTTGTTTATAAATTTGATTTAATAAGTTTGTTTGGGCAATAAATAATTTAAATACATATTTTGGATTGTTTTAAAATACCAACTAATTTATTACAAATATTTTAACTTTAAATAACTAAAACCTAACCTAAATTGTTTTACTTTTAAACAGTGACATAGTTATTAAGGATTGACTCCTCTTCACATTTAAAAGCCATTTGGTAAACAATGGCAATGTGGTACCTATCTAACATTCCACCTAAATGATGAATATAACTTACCTAATTGCCGCTTTATTTTTTTTTATTATTATTCTTCAAAAATCAGGATCTGACAGACGCAGAAACTGTTACAACATGCAAGGCAGTAGTACAAAATTAAACAAATAAGTAAGTAAATAAATACAAAAACGGAGAAAGAAAATTGTTAAAACATGAAAAATAAAATTAAATAGAATAAAACAAATGATAATAATAAAATAAATAAAAGAAAAGAAATTGACAATGAAATATAAAATGAAGTAATGGCATGAAAACGCAAATTAATAGACTAGATGATGACTTAGTGAGTTAGTGAGGAGATCGATAAATAAAAAAAAAGTTAGTTCTGTGAATGATAAAGTTTTTATGAGTATTAATATGTTTGAGGTGTTTTGTGATGAAAGTCTTTTCCTGGTATGTAGATTGGGTGACGGCTTGATAGTTATGTTTGCGCTGACGAAGATTGTGTGTTGTAGTTTTAATTGGTGGTAGTAGAGGATGGACGATGTGGCTGTTGTTATTTTCTACTTTCTTGAACAGTCTTAAATCGAGTGTGTTGAATATCTGGGTGACGGTAGGTTATGATGCAGGTAGATAGTTGAAGCGGATTAGTTTTTTGATGAGAGATTGTAGTTGCTGAAGTTGTTGTTGTGTAGCAAAATCAGGAGGGAGCAGCATATTTGATGCATGAGATAATGAGTGATTAGTGATGTCAAATAATTTGATGCCTCTGAGACCATGTGAGCGGAGTATTTTGAGTGTGTGAAATGGTTGAAAGCTTTTTGTGATGATGTGATTGATATGAGGTGCTACATTAAGTGTGGAGGTGAATGTGATGTCTAATATTTTTAATTGACTTGTGCGAGTGATTGATGGGTGTTCTGGGGGTAATGTTATTTTTTTACGACTATTGTGAATGATGAGTTCGAATGATTTATTGAGATTAAGTGACAGATTGCATTGTTTTGACCATGTAGTTCATGAGTCAAGTTCTGATTGGATGGTGTTTGAGTTAGATGATGAGATGATAAGGTAGGTGTCGTCAACGTATTTGATGATTTGATTAGAGCTATGAAAAGTTTTTATTTGCTTCTTCCAGTAAAGTTTATGACGGGTGGTGAATTAGATTGGAATTAATACTTTTGATTTTGACTGACAGTCAAAAATACTGTAACATAACTTTAATGATCTATCTTTATCAATGAAGTTTCAACATTAAAAACCTTTTTTGATGCAGACAGTCTTACCAACCTTTATTAGTACTACACGTATTTGTTTTGTTTGTATATTTTGACATTGTCATTTATACATTTTATCATACATTATAATACAACAATTTGTTTATTCGTTTATTATTTGTGTGAGTTTTATTTCAAATATTTTTTCATTTTAATTTTTTTGAAAATAACATTTTATACAACTAAAATCTCTATAAAAAGATTTTTTATGTCCCTTTGAATTTTACATATAAAATTGTTTTTATAGAATGAAAATAATTCATCTATAACAAACAAAATCTATACAAGTCAAAAGAAATTTCCAACAATTTAAAAAAAGTTGTTGAACATAGTAAATTGTAAGTTACATTTTTGTATCACTGTTTTACGTATGCTTCTTGCTATATGCATATATTGTAAGTAAATTGATGATAGAATGCGCGTATTGTATGAATGGATCTATGTATAATTTCTTTTGACTTTAATATTCTATCTGATATTATTTGAATTTACTGGATTTAAATAATGTTATTAATTATATGTACTTTTAGAATTTTTGTTATCTTTATTGGTTATCTGTGTTTAATAGTTATATATTGGTAATTATGTTTTGATTATTTTACATTATATATTATTAACAATGATGGAAACAATCGTAATAACTAAAGAATATACTCCCCATGTATTTTTTATTTCGAACTAATTTAATCTTTGATTTTTGTTGAACACCTTTAATCTTTAATTTATGTTGACCAATTTTGATTTCCTTTGGATGGTGTGACTTTCCTACAAGCATTTGGTTGCTTTTTAGTTTACCCCTGTTTTTTGAGAAAATAAAATAAAAAAATTAATGATGTGATACATTATATCAGATGTTTTATAGTGGGATGTTGTTTTTTTCTTTTCAAGGAAGGACTGAAAATGAGGCCCCTCACAGATGAAGAGACAAAAATTTTATTTGAAAAATTATCAAAATAGTTCGTATCATTTTTCTTTTTTTATCAAATTTTTTGTTCCAATTTGTAATTTATAAAAATAATTTGTTATTTTACAATCAATAATTTATTATTTTAATTTACTGTTATAATTCATTACCATTCAGTCATTATATATCATTCATTATTGTAAATATTAATCGTTATAAATCATTCATCATAAAATCCTCCATCATTATTTGGGGGATGGGATGGTGTAATGGTTAAGATGCCTGGCACTGTTGATGTAGTATCCCGGTTTGAATGTGATGAGATCTCTGTATATCACATGCAAAAGTGTGTGATGCGTTGATTCACGTGTGCATTTATATACACCATGTGTTAGTTGTTGTAATAATAATAATGCGCCTCTGTCAGCCATGGCGCTTTATTATTATATTTTTTTTATTATTATTATTTTTTTTATTTAGTATTAATTGTGACAGAAACAATGCATAATGCTAATTAAATATAATTCCTACTTCTATAACTTTTTTGGCTTATTTGTTTGAGCCCATTATAAGCCATTATTGTTATTATTATTATTATTATCATGCACGTTCATTTGATTAGACTTTTTTATGATTTTGTTTTCTTATTTTGACGATTGAAAAAAATTAAATATATTCCCATTATTATTATTTATTATTATTATTAATATTTTGAATCATTAGCTTGTTGTGAATGAAAGTTTCTGCATCTGTTATTATCGTTGAACGTTTTGAAATTTTTCAAGTTTTTTGGGGTTTTTTTACACCACATTACTTTGCAATCTACATTCCAATTCAGTTATCGTTGGCTAGTTTCTTAAAATTTTAACAAATGGAACTAATTATTAATATTTTGCATTATAATGATCGAGGAGTAAAATAAATAATACTGAACGATTTTTAGTTGAGCAGTTAGTATTTGAAATATAAAATGAATGAAGTAAAACAAGTGGACTGATATTTGATAATTTTTTTTTTATAAATGGAAATTATTTCTTCAAAATAATAATAATTTTTTACTTCCTGGTTAGTTAAAGTTGTTGACATTTTTTGTTTCAGTATTGGAGACAACATAGAGGTTCTCATTAATCGATCCGATGGTTTGTATTGTTTTAGGTATGCAAAGGGTAGAGTGCATTATGTGAGGTATGTTTTTTTTATCTTGATGTAACACGTAACTGTGGTAATTTTCAAAACGTTTACTATTTCGTTAAGTGACTTCATTATGAAGAAAGCGGCCCACTTTCCTAAAGAAAACTTAGTCTCCTTCGGTACATGCTTTGGAAAATTTTCAAAAAATATGAAATTTCGACTTCACATTACAGCATTGGATTATTTAGCTCCTTATGCCAAAGTAATAATTTTTTTATTTTTTTATTACTTATGCGTTTATATTTGCAATATTATTTTTATTTATTTATAGCACAAAGTGTGGGTGAAGCCAGCTTTTGAACATCGTTTTTTGTCCGGTGAACACATTTTGAAGTCAGGGTTGGGAAGAATGACAGATAACACATCTAAATATCAAGGCGTCATTGTATATTCCATGAGCGATTTGCCGCTGGTAACATTATTGTTATAAATTAATTAAATTAAAAATTTTAAACTTTATTTGAATTCCGTTCGATCTTCAGCAAAACGCTTATTCATAGTATTTATTGCTGATATATGCTAGCCTTGAATGTCATATTTGGGCATTTTTAAGTTTAAGCATCAAAGCTTGTCAAGTCCAAAGTTGGAGGATATTCCAAACCCATTTTTACTAATCCGTCAATACCATTGAACGTAAAAAGCAGGATTATGCCTTTATATTTTGTACCTCTATTTGCCTCAATTTTTGTAGGTGATCGATTATATAACGATTCAAAGGCTTTTTTGGCCGAGTTATATTGTCGGGCTTACGGGAATGATCGATCAATTAATCAGCAACTGAACCATTTATTTAGCGCCGGCACACGTGACGTACAAACTTGACGTGCAAATAACGTATGCATGATTTATGGCGCGCATATCATAAACGTAGATTTCGGTACATGAATAAAGTCAACCATCCTCCTCTAGATAAATATTTTATTTTACTTGGTGATCATATTAATTTTTCATTTCATTTGATTCAGGGATTTGGTGCCACGGCGAAATCAACTGCTGACTGTCGACACGCGGACGTCACTAATATTTTAGTGTACCATCAAGCTGACAATGGCGAATATCTTAGAAATGAAGAATCACTTATTTGATTTTTAGTTATTCTTTAGTTCCTCGGTAGCTAACATTTAACTTAATTGTTCTAAAACAAGTTTTCATGATTTCGTGCCGAGGCACAATACATTTTTTGTTTCTGTATAATTTTCATTTTTTTAGTTGCCTTGTTCGGAGTTACCTCAATACATACATCTCGAGTTCGATGCAGTATAAAATATTTAAACTTGCAAATAGAACCGATATACTTGTCAAATATGGATCGCCTATAAACATTTTATTGAAGCACAAGATATAAAAAAGAAGGCCAACCTTTTGCAGAAGGCCGCATTGACAATCAAATCAGCTCTGGGTGTTTTTGTGTGTATGTGCGCTCGTGTGTCGTGAATAATGTGAATAATGCAAAATAATGCCAAGTGTTTGTTTCGTTTGGACCATCTGATTGATATGACTGTCTTAACTACTTTTAAATTAATCATTAACAGTAGCCAATTTGTTATTTAAAATATCTTAACGTGGATAATAATCACATATGTTTTTATTATATAGGTAGGTACGTTTTAATGTATATTTGTTTCCATAAAACCGGAATAGAAGGGAACAGCATATTTGATGTGTGAGATGATAAAGTGATTCTGGGATGTCGAATAATTTGATATTTTAGAATAAGGTAATAACATTAGAATCATCAGTCAAAAGAATAAATTTCAAGCTAGTACGGAATCAAGAGAATCAAACGCTTTAGAAAAATCAAGATATTTACCATTGGAAAATTCAATTGTCATCTTAAATCGTATTTGTATATGATACAAATCACAGGTACAGCCCCTCATTACTTAATGGATTTGGGCAGTACAACATCATCGATCGAGAGTAGAAGGGTGTTGAGGTCTGACAATGATTTTCAGGTACCGCGGATGAAGCCATCGGGGTTTCAAAAAGTTTTGAAGTGTATGGCCCAATGATGTGGAACAGTTTGCCAAAAGAATTGAAATTGAAGAGGCGGTTTTCTGAAAAATACTCAAAACAATTTTGTAGGATAGAGCATTCATGAGGACTTGAATGACACAGTAATAGTAATGATAATAATACTGAGAACATTCTTTTATTGACCAAAAAGATAAAATCCAAATGAAATCAATCAAAAATTATTAAATATATATAGTGTAAGTGGGTAAATAAATAAGATGTAAAATATAGGTTAATGTACGATCCTCTCATGCTCTTTGATCAACAAGATCTTGAGAGTAAAAATATATTTAAAATCTCTTAAGTAGTGTTTCTGGCGTTTGTATTCACGTGACGAAACTGGGTTGGTTTCGTGGCAAATTTTAAGCCCTAAAATTTCAATTTGGTTTTTTGGAGAATGGCGATATCCGGCCGCAACTTGTCGAACAACTGTGACATTGGACGTACATTTTCTGCATTAAGATCAGCAAATATGCAATAGTCTGATGGTGCAAAAATTTTTAGTTGACAATCAACGGCGCAGTTTATTATGTCTGTCCGTGCATCTTGCGAGAACCGTTGTAGAATCACAGTTCGAAACCACATGTTTGTTTGGCGATAACTGCATAGTGGACATAGAAATGTTGTTGACTTTACCCATAAGTTTGCATTAGTGGGAAGCTGTTGTATTAAATACACAATTAGCTTATAAAGTGCTATTTCCGCTATGTTCAACAGCGATCTTCAATGAATTTTGCAAACAGATGGGTCTTGAGATCCGCTCTGAACTTCATAAGTGATGGAGAAGTAGTCAGAGAAGTAGGTTGAGAGTTCCAGAGAAAAGGGCCAGAAAAAGCAAAAGCAGATTTAGCAAAGGGACATGAATTGCATCCAGCCTTGACCATGTGTTTAATCTCCAACGCCAAAATTTGTTAATTAAAGCAATAAATGAGCCCATTTAGCAAAAGAGTGTTCAACACGAGTTAAGAAGAAGTGAGAACAAGAAGATGATCGTAAACCGGGGCGTTTAGGTTTAATTAATATATCTGATAAGTACTTAGGAAATGATTTAGATTGAGACGTATACATAAATGTGCAAATTTTAAAAATTATTCTATATTTTATCTTGCCAGTGCAATATATAAAGATATATGAAAAAAGAAAAAGTCACGAGCAACTAGACGAGCAGCAGAGTTAAAAGCTTTACTAAAAAGATAGAGTGTAGAATCAGGAAGACCATAGTAGAGCGAGTTACAATAATCAATCCTAGATAAGACTAACAAAGTAATAAGAAGAAGAAGAGTAGGATCATCAAGAAAAGGAAAAAGTTTTTTATTCTAGTAGATGAAAGTAAGAACTTTTAGCAACACTATTAATCTGAGAAGAAAGAGACATATAAGAATCAAAGATAAAGCCTAGACTACAAAACTTGTGAGAAACTTCAAGAATTTTAGAATCTGGTAAGATAATAAGAGGAATAGTAATAGAGTGTTTAGATTTATTAAAACAAATTAATTCAAATTTAGAAGAATTAAGTTTAAGACACATAGAGTCAGACCAAACGATAATTGAAGAAAGACATAAAGATAGATTATGAAGAACACTATTGAGGTTAGATGGAGGAAAAGAAGTATAAATATAAGAAAGAATCCTATAGTTGACTAGTGAAAGAAAAGTTATTAATAATACGAGGTAGTTCAGAAGTATAGAGTATAAATAGAAGAGGGCCAAGGATAGAATCCTGAGATACTCCAAAAGTAAGAGTAGGGGAGTTAGAAGTAGAATTAAAATTAATTATTAAGAACGACAAAAGAAAAACGATTACAAAGATAAGAAGAAAACCAAGATAGACAAGAATCAGTAATATCAAAAGAAAGATCTAATAGCCTCAAGAGAAAAGTATGATCGACAGTATCAAAAGCAGAGGCTCCCAGAAATAGCCACAATTGGCATACTGCTCTGTATTGAGAACTTTAATCAGGGGGCTGAAGCATAAATTAACTATTAGATGAGAACACGGGTCACTCTTGAGAACCCTTTTTTGAGCAATGCTGGCATTAGATCAACAGTATCAAAAGCAGTTGGTTTCAAGAAATAGCCACAATTGGCATACTGCTCTTTATTGAAAACTTTAATCAGGGGGTTGAAGCATGACTTAACTATTAGAGGGAAACACGGGTCACCCTGGAGAACCCTTTTTTGGGCAATGCTGGCGTTAGTTCATTGTTGACTGACATTATTGTTGAATAGTCAGAGTAAATTGACAATATTAGCGATTTGATTATTTAAGGTAATAATGATAATAATAATTATTATTATTGAAAAAAATGGTAATGGACAAAATGGATTGGTGGAATGGAGTCCAGAGCAGATGGTATAAAGAAACTGATTGAGATTATTCAGTTTATGGATTGAGAGATGATGCATGACGACTGTAAAAATTACAGGCAACATACTTAGAAAAAAAATAATGATTTCAAGAAAAAACAGGCTGCAAAGTTCTGAATAGAAAAATATATAGGAAAATATTAAAATTGAATGCTACAGTTGCAAGTCATGATAATATAACTTAACAAAAATTTTTCTATCCGAATTTTGACTAACTTCCTTTTCGAGGTCTGCCAATAAAAATAAATAAAAAATTTCAAGTAGACTTTATTTTCATTATTATTTTGGTTTATTCATTTTAGTTAAAATTTAAAAAAGTTTCATAGAATTCTAAAATTGGCATAGTTATAAATTAATAAACATAATTTTATATTTCGTTCCGTCAATTAAGGAGAAGGGCCTTTCCTTTTTTAAGCCAAGGCAACGTTACTTAAAAGTTTTAACTACTTTTTTTAGAGGTTCGCTTCATATCTTAACAAAAAATAACTATCCAGTTGAGTACTTCTGCGCTAGTTCACTTAGTTAGGTTTGTTTGTATTTGTCTTTTTTTGATTAAATTGCAAAAGCTTCTGAATTTTAAAATGCTTTTTTGTGGATAGTAATATTTTTTTAGGGAGTGAGTAGAAGTAGACAAAGTAGTAGTAGTAGCAGTAGTAGTAGTAGTGTAAATTAATATTATTACATTACGCTGTTTATCTCACATTTAAGTGGTTTATAAACATTTAAGAAAGGTTCAATGAACTGTTAAAAAAAATTTAGATTTAACACTAAAAAGTAAACAAAAGTAGCATGAGTTGCTAAGTCATAAAATTATCAAATTGTTGTTAACGCAAGAGAAATAAATAAAATTATTATTCTTCATGGTTTCAAGGCATAATGTAATTTTAAAAATTTTCATTTATATAGTTTTTAGTTTAGTTAGAAGGCCACTTTTTTGTCTTTCTTCTATTTTACTTTTGCAATAGTCAACCCATGGCACCTTTAGAGAGTGGCTTAACATGTTATTAACAAATATATATATATATATATTCAGTTTTCTGTCACTTTTCAGTACTCTTAGTTTTTACCACAAAACTTTATTAGTATTATTTCAAAATGCTTCTATGAAACTTAGGAGTGTCATGTGAAGTTATCTAGCTAAGTAAAATTTTCAGCATCCAAACAAGTCACATTTTGTGTTATACTTCTGCTATTCATCACTATTATTGTTCTTTAATAGCTGTTATTAACTTAATCTTATTTTATTAAAATTGAATGATTATTTAAATATTTGTAGCAGTGATTGTAATGTTAGTTATTTTTGAGAATTTGATAACAAGTTAATAACTTAGAGAGGTTAGAGTAAAAAAATTCAGATGATTTGCATCATGATTCACTGTTCATTAGGATTTAAATTTAAAAGATCATGGCATAGAGCTTACCACAGAGTTTGAAAAATAAGAGATTTGTTGAGAAACTCTGGTTAAAATATTCATAAATATCTATGGAAATCTACCTCACTTAGTTTGCTGGTGTAAGCAGTGTGGTGTATGTTTATAAAGTTGGCATGTTAGAATACAGATGTAGGTTCCAAATGAAAATTTATGAAAAATTATGACTAATTTGATATGAAATTATTTTGATCTTATTCATCAATCCAGATGAAAATATACGAGATGGTGGTCAGAGGAAATGAAGCATGAAGGCTGCAATGAGGTGCATAACATGACAAACAAGACTCCAGAATTTGAATGTTTAAGAAAAGCACAGAAAGATGATAAAGTATGTACAATCAAAATCAGAAGTAATTGTGAACTGCCTGTCAGCTCTTGCATTCCTGTTGACAACACGGTTCACACATCTAAATCGTTATCTGGCCCTGCTACATTTTCTAACTGTGGTTTTCCACTTTCAAAAACTGCCTTATCACAAACAACATCATCACATAGTTATTTTAATACGCAAACTGGAACATCAATAGTGCATGTTACCTCTCCTAATCGATCTGCAAGTCAAACTTTTAGAGAAAATTCTATTTATATTGAGCGCCAATGGGAAATGTTGAAAGGAAAAATGATGCATTCTAATAAAATTGATCCCAAACATTTTATGAGAAATAACGATAACTATGATGAACAAAAGTATGACCTTGACTTCAAATTCATAGATGAGTCTTCCACAAATGAAGTAGATGATGCAGAACATAAGAATTCATTGTTCAACAGGAGTACGTCAAATTTACACTCAGATTCAAATACAAACAAACCACTGTGTTTGCGGTCATCACCAGCAGCAGTTGGAATAACAAGTAGTGTTTCATTTGATGGATTCTTGCATAACTCAGTTCACCAGAAAACTAAGCATGGAAAGTTAAATGGGCAGCTGGTTCCAAACAGCATGGACCACTCTCTCATAACTGATTGCAAAAAGTCTTCCTGTAGTTCTCAAGGATTATTGGGAGTTAGCACTAAATCAATAATAAGTTTTAAAAATACATTGTCATTTTGCAACACGGGCATTGTATCCAGCACCAGTAGTCCAGTTAGTTCTGCAAGTTTTTTCTCTGCAGCAACTGGAGCTAATCGAATTTCTAATGAGAAACCTCTTTTTATCCGAAGTTTTAAAGAAGAATTTCTTTCTGGTACCAACTTAACTCAACAATCATTATTATTAGCACATGAAGGGAACAAAGCATCTATTTCATCTTTGCCCATCCTGGTAAGCCCAAAATATGCTAATTTGTGTTTTACTGAGGCCAAGAAGTCAACGTTGGCTGCTGAGAACGTTTCAAATAAAGGTTCTGTTTTTATAGCTGCCAATTTTTTAATTTCACAATTTAGTCAGTTGATTATTAATTTTAAAATTTAACTTTCATCTATGTAGAAGCATTGGAATGTGTGTCTAGAGAAACAGTCTGTACATCTCTCATAACTGCACCACTGCAGTCAGCTGATGTTTACTCCTCCTCCTCAACAACAACAGAAAACAAAAACACAACTGCTCAAGACCAGTCTGAAACACATGACACAGAAAATGTAGTGTCAACATCGTCATCCCCATCCTCTAAAGTGGCCGACAGTGTTTTGAAATCTATCAAGTACCAGGAAATGTTATCACGCAAGACTTTAAAGAAGAAGCAAAAGAAAGAATTAGTGTTGACTGCAGAGAAAGTACCTGATTATAAAGGAGATGCATCCCTTGATGATATCATTAACTTTATAAACAATGAAGGTAAAACAGTTAATAATCAGGAAAGAGTCAAAGTCACCAAAAAATCTAAAAAAAAGGTTAATAAAGAACGTGCAAACCCTAAATTATGTGATCAGAATATAACATCAAGTTCTGAACTTATTTCACCTTCCATTATCACCATAAGTTCTCAAGCATCGTTGTGCAATGTTGTTGACGTTAAATCTCTCTACCAAACAACAATAGCATCATCTGCATCACAACATAAGTCAATAAATGTAATTGAGGTGCTGCCTAAAATCACTGCTGTTGAAAGTGGTGAAGTGAATACCCCTGTTAACTCGCTGCATGCATGCCAGACAGATGAAAATGCAGAGACAAAAAATAAGATAGATAATAATATTATGAAATATAATCCAAAAAAACTTACTAAAACGTCTTCTTTAGACTGTGACAAAAATATAGCCAACACTATCAATGATGATTACAATTCATCTCATATATCAGGGTTAGATTTAAGCGAAGGTCATCTCACTGATGATAACACAATGGGTGACAATTTTTCTGTCGTTTTTAAAAAGAAAAAACGAACAAAGCATAAAATGACTCAAGAAGCATTTAATAAATCCTTTAATATATCTGACATAAAGTGTAAGGAACCCATAAAGAACAAACGATCCACAAATAGTCATATCAAAGAGCCAAAATTAGTCCCAACTGCTGTAACTTTGGCATCAAGTTTGAAGTCAAATGATATCACAAGGTCAAGAGTCATGGAAAAGGCATCAACCAGTATAACAAGTTCAGCTCCATTTGATAAGGCCACTTTGTGTAGCACCACAGATCATGATATGGAAGATAGCAAACAAATTAAATCACTAGATGTTAACAAAGATGTTAAGTTAGGTAATGAAGGTTTGTCAGAAATTTCAAACACAAAAATCAATCTCCCACTGGCAAACACAACTGCCGATGCATCATTACCTAATATTCACGAAAACAACATGTCATCTAATACGGAAGCAACATCGAGCTGTTCCACCACATGCAGAGCTGTGTCTGTTAATGATTTCGTGACATCCAGCGTTACAACATTTGATGTTGCTGCCGCAGCAACATCTGACATGAAGCCATCAGTCTCCGACATTAAGAATAATTCATCAGAAACAGATGGCCAGCTTAATGTGGTAACAACCTCAAAAGCAATACTGAATACATCAAACTATTCTTCCATGTGTAAATCTTTGAGCATTCCTGACAAAGTGTCTAATTCAATGAACATCTTTCTTGACACCCGGTTGACAAATAAGCCTCAATTGGCTTCTTCACTTGACATTCAGTTTGGGTTTGATGATGGGGTTGACAAATTAGATGATAAAACATCACGTCAGCAGCCAACAAATTTAACAATCTGTGATAACCAAGCTATCTCTCTGTGTAGTATTGTTGATGTACAATTTATCGACAGAACTGATCTGAAAACTGGAGATACAGTATTAGAAAAAATTAATGAATGTGTACAGTTTGTAAATAAGCATTCGCCAGAAAACGCTTCAGATGAATCACAAAAGTTGAAAAATTCTAATTCAGCAAAGGCTGCAAGTTTTGATAAAGAAAGTTTTGAAAGTACAAAAAGTGATAAGGCAAATTGTAATCCTTCAGTTCCAAATGATGAGATAAGGTTGGGAAATAATGATGATAACCTTATTCCAGATAACAATGTCGTTTTGCATCCAAATGTAAAAGGATTGGACAGTTTGAGCAGTGAGTTGAGTGTAAAAGGTAGCGTGTCAAACTCTGACGTATTTGATAACATTTCAAAAGTGAATACTTCGGTTACATACAATTCGTCCTATCAAACAGATTTTTCTCATCCCGTTGGAATTATAATTAATGATAGTAATGTAACTATGACAGTTGCAAATGATCTAGCAAACTTAGATATGACTCCGACTATTTCAACCGATTTACATTCTAAACAGTTGTCCAACAAGCAAGAAAACTATCAAAACAACATAGATGCACAAAAGTTTACGAATAAGACCACATCAAATTCAAACTTCTTTTGTACGAATTCTAAAGAATTTGAAAACAAAAAAGTAATATTAAAGGATCATCATAACAGGAGTAAAACACGCGATTGTAAAACTCGTGATCGTAATGTTAAATTCAATAATCTGGAGGCATACCATACATCTGACACAAAACAAGTTTTTCGGAAAGCGTCATCAACATTTGATTTTAGGAGAACACAGATTTATTTGAATGCAGGTAGATTTTCCTATTTCTTTTCATTTTAATTAAGTTTATGACTATCTTTTATGTTTGATTTATTTTCTCATAGATTAACATTGTCACTCTTGGCTTTTGTTTTCATGCATACACTTCCAATATTTTTTCTTATGATGTTTCAATTTATGATGATGTTTTTCTGGTTCCATAATATTTCAGTCATTCACACTTGTAGTTAACATTTAATCTCAACTGACCTATATCTCATAAGTTTTTTGAGTTCAAAACCAAAATTTTTATTTATTTTAAGCATGATAGATCATTTAAGCATGATAGAACATTTAAGCCTGATAGAAAAAAAACTTTTTTCGGTATTCCTTTCCTATATCATCTTTGGTGTTCGAATTGATACATTGTGTATTTATCATGTTTAAATGTTCTATCACACTTAAAATAAATAAAAGTTCTGGTTTTGAACTCAAGAAACTTGAGAATGAATTACGATTAACTGCTAGAAAAATCGAAAAATTAAACAGGAAGCTAACTAATGCGGAACATGCTGGGATTTTCATCAATAATTGCGTTTCTCACAGTCTTAATTCAATATGTGTATATATATATATATATATATATATATATATATATATATATATATATATATATATAATATATATACATGTGGTATTAAATGATAAAGAAAAGGATAGAGTTCAATGAAGAAGTTTACATGTTTCATAGACTTTGCCAAAGTGTATGACTCCATCTGGAGAAAAGGGGCATGGGAAATCCTCAAGAAATATGGGGTACATCCAAAGGTAGTGCGATTAATCAAAAATTTATATGGTATGGTTTTGGCAAATATACGAGTGGAAGGTGAAGAATCTGAATGGTTCTAGATAGAAACTGGTTTCGGACAAGGTGGCATTCTATCACCAATCTTTTTTAACATCATTCTGGACCACATACTGAGAAGACTGGAAAAGCTCGAGGATCTTGGAAAAAGCGTTGCCCCAATAGATATGCAAGATGCAGAATATGCAGATGACACATACCTAATGGCTGAATGTGTTCTGAGGGTAATGGAGCTAACCGACCTTTTGCAAAAGGAAAGTGAAAAATTAGGTCTGAATATAAACATAAAAAAACATAGGTAATGTCAATCACAAAGACAAACGGACTTTGGCCACAGGTGAAAGTGAGGGGAGAAGAAGTAGAAACATTATCAGAATTTATCTATATAGAAAGTCATATTAACAAGACAGGTAGAATAGATAGAGGAGGAATTGAAGAGAAAGAAAACGCTAGCAGGAGGAGTATTTCAGAGACTGTACACTAGAGTTTCCAAATGATATTGGACTAGAGGTCAAGCTAAGAACCTACAATGCTATGGTGGTCCCGGTTTTGATATATTCGGCTGAGTCGTGGGCATTAACTAGAACCATGGAAAAAAGTGGGTGCGAGAACATTTGGATCAGAATAATGATGCAAATTGGATACAATGATCACGTCACAAATGAGAAAATCAGGATAAGAACAGGACAGATGAATATTAGTAATGTTATTAGGAAGTGGAGATGGAAGTAGGCAGGACCTATTATGAGGATGTAGGAGTTCAGAATATATATATATATATATTATGGTTTGTTTTATGAACTTCCGGCCAGATCCATCAAACTTCTGTAATCGATTCAAAACCATGCTGCCTGGGTTGTGGCTGGATGTCAATGGTATGAACATGCTACACCGATCCTGAATGATTTGCATTGGTTGCCCATAAATAAAAAAGTTGTTTTTAAAATTTCTGTCACAGTTTTTAAGTCACTAAACGCTAAACGGTCTGGCTCTAAAATATTTATCAGATAAACTGAAATTAAAAACTCCGACTGCATCTGGTGTGCGTCTGAGGTCTGACGATTCGAACATTGTTGTGGTTCCTCTTAGACAGCTAAAGATTGGTTTACGTAATTTTGCTGTCAGTCCTCAGAATACCTGAAATGAACATTGCTGAATTTAAAAAACAATTAAAGATATACCTTTTTTTTTATTATAATTCATTTCTTTTCATTCTTGTTATTTTTATATGAATATTGGCTATAATTTGATAGCGTTTGTGAAGACTGCTATAACGAACGCTATATAAATTTTTTCTTAATTCTTTCTAAAAATACATATATATTTGTTTATTTTATTTTTACTTTCAACAAAATTTTACTGTCATTACATTGTTGTCATTTTTTTCGTGTATTAATTAAATAAGTTACTTATTAATTTATTTGGTTGATTATTTCCTCAGACTGCTGAGTTGATTGTTGATAACATTTATTGTAAGCTTTAACTCTTTGAGAACTGAAGAGTGAATTTTAATAATAATGATAATAATAATAATAATCATCCTTTATTGTTTTGTAAATTTGTTTTGTTCGTAGTATTAGTAATTTTATCAATCGCACAAAATTGTTTTATTTATGAAAAAGTAACTTATTGCTTGGCCATTTGATATGCATCTACATTCATATTTGACTAATATTATATTTCAACATTTAATGAATTTAAAACAGCTTTCGAAAAAGGTTTGAAGGAAAAAGGTTTGTTCATATTTTGTTTCCATTAAACATTTTTTTAAGTGCAAAAGTTGAATGCATAGGAATTAACTGGCTTTATGATTAAAGGTGTTGCTCTAAATTTGCACTCTAATCACGCTTGTATCAAAAATTTGCATCGGCGGAATATTTTCCTAAGTATAATTTAATCATTGGCTTTTAGACTAATATCAAGTAGACTATATTTATAAATACAATTCTGCACGGTGTAATAGGTTAATTTGATGCCAATTAAATTAATATAGCTCCATGCATCACAAATAATTTGCAATTTACCAACAGAATTAAGAACAGTATGACATTTCTTTTTCTAACTTGTTTTATGAAGCAAGTTTTTGATACAAGTATGATTAGAGCGCGAATTTAGCTTTTTGATTGTATAATTTTTTAGATTTGTTAAATAAATGATTTGACGAGTTTTAAGATTTTTATTTAAAATTATTTTGTCGATCATTTCATTAAATTAGTTATACATCTAGAGAATAATAATAATAATGCCATTTATGCAGCTCGCAACGCTTAATGTCAGAGATGCCCTAATGTATGTTACCATTAAAACATTTCTTGCATAGTATCTGCTTGTCTGCTTTCTGTGAAACGATTTGTTGAAGTTGCTTGTGCGCTGTCTACAAAATAAGAAGCAATTTAATTTCACAGTTAAGATAAACAACAATAAACTTTGTAATGTACCATTCGTTCTATGTACACAAATTAAAGCAACCTGTTGCCTTCAAATAACTTTTATGACGTCAGATGCAATCTTACAAAGTATTTATTTTTTCGTTGAAGAGTTTTCGGTAAATTTTCATCCATTTTATATAAAATCTTTTCAAAAGGATCCCTGAAGAAACTTTTGATTTGAAACTTCCAAACGTAATGTTATGATTCAGATCTAATGATCAGATCATAAGATTGACTCAACAAATTAACCGTTGAGGCAAAAAGATTTTGTTTATTGCAGCGTCATTGATATCACGATTTTATAATTGTCTAACTCAAAAATTTCTTATTTACATTACAGGTTTAGTCATTTTTAAACCGAAGGAACAGCAATAGTTCAGTTTAATAGTGGGTTAAAAGTTCAATATACTAATAGGGTTGTTTTTATTAAAATGATGGGATACGATAAAAGAGTTTTATGGAACCTCAAATACTTTCTTGCAGTACATGCTTCATTATTTTTCCCAATTTTGTAACCCACAAAATGTATGCTTGATTAAAAAACAAACCTATGCTGGATGTTTAAATGACCTGATGCAAAATTTCATTCGATCAATAGCCGATTTATTATATTTGGTTAGACTCCTGATAGATTTGCTTTTTTTTAGTTTGGTGCTTAAAATTTTGCTTATATTTTAATATTTAATTTTGTTATTACATTCGTAAATACGTTTATAGATGTGAATTTGGATTGTACAATTTGTTTTTACCACCATTGTCTCCTCAATGGTCCATTTGATTAATGCCTATGTGATTCTAAGTGATAGGTCAAAACCAATTCAAATTTATTATTATTAAATTATATTATTATTATTTATTTATTCATTTAAAATTATCGCTTTGACAGTAAGCGATAATTTTACATTCATCGCATTTAATTATATCGTTACATTATATTACATTTAAATGGTTATATTTATTTTTACTTGAAGGAGAATGTAGTGTTAAAAAAATGTTTCTTATATTTTCAACGTTCTTATATTTTCAATGCTATAATCTCTGTTGATATTTGGGTCCGATTAGAGTTCTGCTTTCCGTTATTTCATGTGAATTATTGCCAACATTATGGCGAGATATGTTATTAAAATGTTAATAGTGTTTTTTTTTTATAAAATTTTAAATCATTATTTTTTAACTTTTGTACATATTTACCCCTTTCATATGGTTTTCTAATTGTTTTCCATTACCTGCTTGCTTCTCATCGAGACGTCAACAATGACAACACAATAAAGAATGAAATATACCGATTTTATGAGCAATTACATCATCACCATTTACCCGTTAAGATAATATTTCTACGAAGGCTACGCTAAAAATCATTATAGCATTTTATATTTGCCATTCAAATTAATTTCTTGATATTGATAATATTCGTCATATTGTTGTGTATTGTACTGCATCAAATTTCCATGCTAAATACACTAATAGAAAACGTGCTAATAGTTCTAACATGCCACGATAACAATAATTAAACCACAACCTGTCTTGAAATATCGTAAATTTGTACGACTGGTGTGACTGAAAGTTTGCTAACAATAACCTGTAAACGCAGGACTGAATGAAGGCAATAAATAAGGCGAAGATTTTTCTCGCTCACCCACTCATTTTCACGCCTACACTTCCAGTCATCAAATTTATATCCCGTGCCTGTAATTAAATATAAATTCATTATCTTGGACTACGTCTTTTCGAAGACCTCTGCACCAGTTTTATTCATCTTTCACTTACCGTCTCTTAATCCATCTCATGGTCTCCCACACACACAAACACACACCTACATACAAACGTGTGTGCATATGTATGAATATATATATATATATAATATATATATACATATTCGCATAAGATTTTTTTTTGGAAAGTTTAATCCATTATGTATTAACGGTTTATATTCTGTATTTCATATCAGTTTCGTCGTGTGTGTGTGTATTTATATATATGTTTGTATGCATATATGTATATGTGTGTGTGTGTGCGTGTACATTTTCATTTCTAAACATGTGAAATATGCAACCACAAATTGCAAGTAATAATAGTTGCAAAAAATTAATTTTTTTTCACGAGTGTTTGATTAACATGTACTTTCTAAGCGTTACAAGTTTAATGTTTATATAGAATTTGCACGTAACTGCATATTGTTGACGAGTAACTTGTCCAACCGTCAAATCATTAACATCATTATATTTTCCATTCGAATACATTGAACGAAATTGATTCAAATCAAGTTTTTCAAATATTTAAAAATCAAAACTAAATATAATTTGTAGCCATTTCAAATAATTTTTTCTTTACACGGAAGAGAACTACGTAAAACTTGTTAAATTATTCACGAATACACACATCAGCTGTGGGTACTATCGTTTCTGGTCAAACTCAAAATACAAGGATGTTGCTATGCCGTCCGCGATAAATTAGTTGGTAAAATCGTCATACACACACACACACACACGCACACACATATATATATATATTGTTGTTGTTGAATGTACAATTATAACAAAAAAAAATTTAATGCGAGCTCAGGGAAAGGACGTCGAAGCACAAATCACAAACTCTCACGGGCTTGGTCAGTTCAAATTTGATGATGGGAACCTCTTTTGCTGAACATCTGGAACATAACAGTCTACCACAATGTCGACTGTCGCATTCAAAAATTTAACCATTGTATTTCAGTTGATATCTATATTAAATCTAGTTAGCAAGATTTTCAAGCACAAAAAATTATTAGAAATTGAAAAAATTGTGATTGATTGTAAAATTGTGATTAATCGACGTTTCCATGACAAGAGTTGTATTAAAATAACGATTCAGCAATCACCAATTTACCAACCAGTGATGTTTTCGCGTAGTAAGTCCAAACTTGACGTCACACTGTAAACAGTTCTCACCGTCAGTCCATGGTGGCTCCTTCTTCAACATATCTGATTGTAAAAAAAAACATTTAAGATCAAACAGTTCAAATTCAAACATGTTGGTAAGGGTAAAAAAGGAATACATCATTTAATCAAGTGCATTGTTTAATGTTAAGATTTTGGTTGAGTTGAGATTCTGATGAAACCCAATCACACGAAACAAAAACACATTTATTACAAAAGTTGTTTATGAGAAAAACAAAGTTACATTTAATTTTTAAGCCATAATTTAAGATAGTTTTTATCTATTTATTAAAACAAATGAAACAGAGTAATTAAATATGAAACATTCGTAGCAAATGACAACAAAATCAAACATTAAATTGAATAAACTGAAATCCAACCCAGCATTTTAAAAAGTAATTGTTTTGTGGCGACAGGAGCGTTGAATATGGACATGCCCTCCTTGTTTTTTGTGCCTAATGTGGCTCCATGCTTTACGATCGCCCGACACAACGAACTGTTGCCGTTGAAGTACGCCAACATGAGCACTGTTTGAATAAATTCGGCGCGAACAAAATTACTTATATTACGTATAATCCTTTTTTGTTGGAGTTTGGACAGTTGCTTACAAAAGAGTAATTATTCAGAAAAAATCAATAGCAATTAGAGTGAAATTTAAAAAAAAACCTGAATTTCCATTGGCATCAACTTGATCTACAGGATACTGAGGAAAACTTCGGATGAATAGATCAAAAATTAAAGAGGAACTCTCCTTGCTGTGGTGGCCCAATACGTGCAGTGGGTTGTAACCTCTGTTTCAATATATACTTATAATGCGTTATTTCTAAGAAGCATTACGAATCAATTTTTGTAAGTACCACACTATAAATATTTTTCGTTCATTAGCTCAATTAAAACAGTTTTTTCATGTTAGATCGCCATAGTAAAATACTTTTCCGTTTGTATAGCGTTTGCATTGGTGGACTTCGATAAAACTTCTATAAAAGAGGTGAAGGGCAGTGAAAAGGGCATGCATTCCATAAGCGATGATCAAAAGCAAGCTGTAAAATTTAGACCAAAAGTTAACGATAGATAAAAAAACATGCAAAGAATAAAATGTTCTCCGAATGAAGACAGCAAATCTTAACATCAACTGCAAATAACGATGATAATAATATCATTTAATGCATTTCGTAATTTCACAAATGAGAGCAAACTTTGAATTTCTACTGGCGATGTTGATATCCGATTGAGTTAGAAGCACCTTGACCACATCGAGATGTCCATACTGGCATGCAACGTGTAATGCTGTCAGTTTTCAACGATAATTATCTTATCCATTTTGTTTCCACCAGCATTCGATCACTATAAAAAATCTTAGTTCTGTTATGTTTTGTTAGTTATTCCTTTTGAGTTATCACGCGTTGAGACAATGTTTTGACCAATAGCTAATAAACGAAGATACAGCAAGAAAAATTGTGCTATGTTCCATTACCAAATAGTAATAAATATTATGTATAGTATACAGTCAACGCAATGTCAAAAAGCTGAGAATTATAAATATACCATTATTGAGAGTGTCATCAATAGCATTAACGTTGATGTTGTTCCCGATCAGTATGGAAACAATGTGTGAATGGCCGTGCAGACAAGCGAGATGGAGAGCAGTTTGCTTGTGTGAAGTCACGTCGTTTATATGCGCTCCTGCCAGAATCTATGGTTTTCATTTCATTTATATCCATAAGCCAAAATTCCATTTTTTTTGCTATGTTTCCTTATTAAAACATAATAACATTATATATATGTATCAATCAATCAATCTTCCTTTTGCGTCCAGAAACCCGGTTTCCCGAGGTAGGACGTTGTTTTCTTTGCCATCAACTTTTTGCGCCAAATTAGACGATCAGTTGTATCCATTTCATTTAAATTTAGAGCTTTCATGTCTTGCTCGATTGTTTGCGACCAGGACTTCTTTGGACGGCCTTTGGGACGTGTGCCAGGTACTTCAACATCTGCAAGAGAAGTTATGGCACTGTTTCCACTTCGTTTGACATGACCAAACCACCGCAGACGGTGTTGCCGGCATTCGTCCTTTATATCATCTAAACCAGCACGACGAAGAATTTCGGTAGATTTGATGTGGTCCTTCAGACTAATTCGTTGCATCCATCGGAGCATTTTCATGTCGGTTCGTTGAAGTTTTTGTTCCAGTTTGGTTGTCATTTTCCATGTTTCTGCACCATATAACAAGACCGGACGTATCACAGATTTATAAAGTCTTGATCGTAGTGGTAGTGGGACGTCACGCCGCATCAATATAGAGGCAAGGAGATGCCATTTATTCCAGGCTGCACGTATGCGTGCTCGAACGGCAGCTTCAGCTGTTCCAGTACAATCCAGAACATTCCCTAGATATTGAAACGATGTGACTTTCTCTATTTTAATGGCTTCAAAAACAGTGCTATTTCGAATTTGTTGTTGTGGATTGATGCAAGCAGGACAAACAAAGTTGGACACTTTAGATAAAGTACCAATTATTTTTAACAACGTTTGTGACACCACTGGCTACACTGCTGACACTTGATTGAATTGTTACCTACACCAGCTTTACAAACTGAACAGGGCCATCGTCCAGTAGCTGTGGATTGAATGGGTTCACCAGTGTTCATTGCTTTGGTTTTGCTGATGTTGACTTTGAATCCATGATCGGCGAGTCTGGTGTTCCAATCTTCAAACATCTGTGCTGCATTCTGCTCAGACGTGGCTGTTAAAACGATATCATCAGCATATACTAGATTCCAAATGTCATTTGTTCACCTTTGCTTTTAGTGAGCCACTCTCTGCACTGATCTGTCCGAGCCAGTGCAACTTGACGTTTTGCATAGTTGTTCTTCTCACGGAAAATTTTATGGTCATCTACAGACTGATTTTTGCCATTGCTTGTATGCAACTTTCTTTTCAGCTATTGCATTTTGTACACTGTCATTCCACCATCAAGTGTCACGTTCATGCTGACGTTTTGTACCAGTTTTCCCACAAACTGTAGTTGCAGCGTTCATTAAAACGGTTTTGTATGTACTCCAATCTGTACTGGCTTGCGATTGGTGGTCTAACTGTGTGGCGAATATCTGTTGAAATTTTTCTCGATGAATATTGCTTTTCAGCTTCCACGTTTTGATTCTCCGAGGTATTTGTTTAGACTTATGTTTTGACAGTTCGACAACCAGGTCTGCCACAAGGAGTCTATGTTGGGCGACACATGATTCGCCAGGTATAACTTTGACGTTTTTGAACAGCCTTCGGTGTGGTTGCTTGACAGCAAAGAAATCAATTTGCGTGGCTGATGGCCCACTTTTGTATGTTATGAGATGTTCCAACCTCTTTCTAAAATATATGTTCAGTAAACAAAACCCGTGACTTTCAGCAAACTCAAAGATGCGGTTGCCATCTTCATTCCGTTTTCCATAGCCAAAACCGCCATGTACGTTGTCAAAACCATCTGTTTTCTCTCCAACGTGGCCATTGAGTTCGCTTCCAGTCAGGATTGTTTCAGATTTTGGTATTGTTGAGATGGTGTCAGAGAATGCAGTCCAGAAGTCATTTTTCATCTCTTCTGATTCGCCTGTCTGTGGTGCGTATGCAGAAAAAATAATCATTGTTTGCTTTTCTATGCGAAGCTTGATCCACATGAGACGTGAATTAATCCTTTTAATACCCAGTACTTCTTGGGCAAGCAGTTCTCTGACAAAAACTCCAAAACCATTTTTGGCCGTCTTTTGACCATTCCAGAATAGTTTATATTTTTCTTTGTCTGAGTTGACATGACAGACACCATTCGATTTCCATCGGGTTTCCTGAAGGCAGCAGATGTCAATCCTTCTACGCTCGAGCATTTCTGCGATTTCCATGCTGCGGCCAGTCAGTGATCCAACATTGAGCGTTCCAAGTCTAAGTACCATAAAGGGGCCATTCTGAATTTTTCTGCAACATCCCTCCGCTATTGCATACTTGGATTCTTGGCACACCTTGACCACTTAAGGCCTGCTGGGGACTAGGGGCCGTTGTTTTTCTTTGTGATGGCATAGGAATAATTTGGAGAAAAGTTTTTACATCCGGGCACCCATCCTGACGAAAACCACCAGTTATAAGCGGTGGGCCTAGCCTTTCGCTCAAAAATTATATATATGTATATTTATACATATAATATATTATTTATTATTACTTGTGCTGTTATATTTTAGAAGCATTTGTTATAAAGTGTCTAGCAAAATAATTTTTATACTTTCTTTTATCGTCGTCATTAAATAAATTAATTATTATTGCCATTTCGAAAACGGAGCATGATTTGAAGTCGGATGAGTGAACGGCATTATATTCCACGTCGCACGGCCTACAGAATTATTATTAAACTGATGTAGCTAATTAATGACACAGGTCATAGTGACAAAAGTGAAGAAATGATAATTTAATTTCCGTATAAGGGTATTACAAAATTACAGTTCATCAAGTACATTCATCTATCTTTAAAAACTAATAATTTTCAACTTAAACAAAAACTGTACAACAACAACGTACCGTTGAACAGGATCAAGGTGTAAAAGATAGATAGATGAAACAGAAATAAATGTGCAAACCAGGTTCCTGAGGATCATTTCATGGCCGACGGATGCGGCGACGTGGAGTGGTGTGCGCTGGGACGCGTCCTGCACGCGGAAGTTCACGCTCACCTGCACATCTATCAGGAACAACACCTTCTCGAAATCACTTTCTTCTATTGATAGGTGCAAAAGGGATCGGCCTTTTGTATCTAACTGATAGATAGATAGATAGGTAGGTAGGTTAGGTAGATGGGTGGTAGGTAGATAGAAAGATAGATAGGTAGGTAGGTAGGTAGGTAGGTAGGTAGGTAGGTAGATAGATAGATGTATATATATGTTTCCGGCATCATGGCGTGTAAACAAAATTTAACGATTAACGAAGTTTTATGCTACTTATCAAATAATTAAGAGTTTATGAATAATGATATATTTATTAACAATGCGTCCGACTTCTACAGCTCGGAAGAAATCTCGGCTGCGCTCAAACTGATCAAACACGACGTCAATCTCCTAAAGATTGATGTTAATTTCGATATAACACGTGGTTCTAAAAAGAAAGACAAAAAGGACAAACTACGCGAAACCATTCGCTATTTAGGACTAGTCTGCGAAAAAAATTTATCAACAGAGCTTCCTACCTACGTTAGTTCTAACTTACGGGTACCTAATAATGACTCTATTCTTAAATTTAACTTCAACGAAATCAAAAGCGACATATGCAATATGCTGCACAATCAGCAACTTTATCTATGCAGCATGCTGAACGCAGCCCCTCGAGTTCATAAAAGTGAACTTAATAATACCAACAACACCAACGTAAACAATGTTAAAAGCTACTCGGTAGCAGCAGGACAAAAACACGCCTCGTACAGCTCGGATGCATCATCTCCTAAGATCGTTCATCCGGCTTCGTCCGAAATCAGCACACCACCATCTGATGAAATCTTGAAGCAGGGAACCCAATCGCTGGTGGATCTCAACGTTGTAGCTGCTCCTGCTCGTTCTTCACTTCACAATAAAAACAACTCTAATTCCAGTGGCCACGAAGGCTCCAGGAGCACTGTTACTTCAAAAAAAGAGAAAAAATACTCTCCAATTACTGTAAGTTCCAAACAACCTGGGTCCTTCAAGTTATCTGCAGCTCCCTTGCCTCCCAAAAAAATTGTTTTTGGGGTAGGCAAATTGAAAAGCTGCGTCAAAGAAGAGATCCTAGAACAAAGCACTTCAGAAACCTAACTGAAGAATCTATAAACAACATCAACAATTTCTTATCGAACCACAACTGGAATTCTTTGACTTCTCTAAAAAATGTCAACGACTGCTGCTCTGTTTTGAATACTATCTTAACTCACTCTCTAGACACTTTTGCCCCCTCCGTCCTGTCAAAAACAAAAAGAAAAAATGCTGGATCAATGACAACATTCTAAGCCTTGCGAAAAAGAAAAACAAACTATACATCATAAGCCTTAAATATTCAACCACCCGCTACATTGCGACCTACAAAAGCTTCAGAAACATGTTCACATCTATTAAACGAAAAACTGAACGAGACTACTTCTCTAACAAACTTGAAGACGCACATAACAATGTTGGACAAAAATGGAACACTATCAAAGAAATTCTAAACAAGCAACCTCCAAACTCATCAATCACCAAACTAACTATCAACA